AGCACTGCACTTCCTGTTTTAGACACGAAGACTCGTGTCTGTATCATCTACTAGATTCCCGCCCCTTAAGGACAGTACATGTGACAAAGTCATCTCCACATCCCCAACACTTAGGACGGTTTGTGGCAAAAGGCAGAAGCCGATCCCGTATTGGCTTATTAAGAGGAACGGTTGACTGACGGCTGGCTGGCTGGCTCCCCAAGCTCAAGGGCAGAGCAGTCTGGCAGGTGGCAGGCGGGGACTGCCCACCTGCTCTAACGGTCAAAGGCGGCCTGCGCCCGATGCCTAGGGGAGAACCCAGCCGGTGGTCGAGGCCCAACGGGGTGTGTGGTTAGGAAATGGGATCGATTCTTCCCCGAATGAAAACCGTCCACTGCTGATCTCGACTCAGGAAACCAACCCCTGGGGCTCCCTAAGCCCCTCAGAACAGAGCACCCAGGCCCCTGGCTTCCAAGAGCGGAGCGGAGAAGACACACAGGGCGAGCGGGAGGTGAGAGCAGCTCATGCCCAAGACCCCGCCCGACGGCTTCGCTCCGAAACCCGAAACCCTCGCTTAGAGCTGCTGAGCCAACGAATGCCAAGCGGAAGGGCCCGCGCGCACGCACACTCACGCAGGCCCGCGGGGTGCGGAAATGGACCGGGGAGACGCCGGACGGGAGGGGCCCCCGAGTCCCAGAAAGTCGCTAACGTTTAGATCCATTCTAATTCGGACGACGGGTCTTTCCTGAGGCCTTTCTGTGAATGGCTGCAGGATGCTTTTCTCCTTAAGCCACGTGACAAGCTCGTGAGGTATTTGCTAGTCTCATTCCATCTCCAGACGAGGAAGTAGAGCCAGCCTGGCTAAACTGACAGGGTCAAAGTCACGAGGCAGAACTGAAATGCTGGGCCCACGTCCACCTGACTCTGGCCTGCGTCACCGCACGTCACTGCTTCGAACGCCTTCAGACACAGGCTCGTGTGAATTACAGAAACACCTTAGGGCTTGAACGACAGGAGCGGAAAAACACGTCGGGGTAGCGAAGACGTCAAAAACGTTAACGGGAACTTAGGCCGTATTAACAGAGGTAAAGAATTCTGAACAAGGGAGGTGACGGCGCTTTTGAGTTCTGAAATGGAGAGACACAATTAATGGAGACAGAACTCGGTTTCCTGGGGAGGTGTCTCAATTCACCTTGATGGCATTGAGAGGAGGGTGCCTGTGTTCTTACAAAGGAACTAAAAAATGTCACACGACAAGAAAAAATGCAAAACAGAGAAAGATGTTTAACTGGGGATGAAGACATGACTTGACGTGTCTTGTTTATCTAAACCGCCATCCAGACATCCAAGGCACGAAAGGATGGCTTGTCCTTTGAAGTAAAGAAAAATTTCCTGATGGGCACAACTGTCTAGGGACAGAATGAGGTAAAAGGTGAGCTCCCCACCCTAGGCGAGCAGATGCGCACAGGCCTTTGCAGAGCAGCGAAGACAAACGTGAGGTCACACTAGAGGTCTCTCCCCCTCAGAACAACGGTCTTGGGGGGCTGGATGACGCTCTGTGGGGGGGGGAGTGCTTTCCTGTACATCGAAGGATGTTTAGCCAAATTCCTGGACTTTATCCGCTAAATGACATTAGCACCCACCCCAAGACTGCAGCAATCAAAAGTGTCTTCCCATGTGAAGATGTGTCCGTGGGGACAGACTCGCCCCACCTGCAGTGAGGACCGCCGGAGGAGACGGAGGCCAAGGGCACTTGCGTCTGATGTTAAATGTCATGCTTCTGTGTCTCGTTCCCGCCCGGGTCTCCACGGTCCCCAAGAAGCCGCCTGCCCGGGTCATGATCGAAAGCCCCAGGCCCACCCCGAGGATGTGCCACAGATGCCTTATTATCCTGAAACCCGGTTGATGAGAAAATATGGCTTTCTCGATCATTCCGCAGCCTCTGCCTCCCTGCCCCTCACGGCTAATCTTATAATCCATGAAATCTCCTGCTCTGATTAGGATTGAGTGCCCCGCATTGTAGAAGGCAGGTGACGCTCGGAAGCCTGGCCCCACCTGCAGCGAGGGAGCCACAGAGAGAAAGACGCCGACTCAGCAGGCCACGCGTGGGACTGGGAAGGAGACTTCTGCAGTGAGGACCCTATAGTGATGCCGCCTTATAAACGAGGCCCCTGGGGTTTAGGACGGCGAGGGGACTTGCCCAGCGTCTCATAGCCGATGATGGGCACAGGGCCTCGGCTGCTGAATGTCACGTTTTGTTGGGGTCCACCTTCTGCACACGGGTTCTCCACCAAGTGCTGTTTTCGTGGCGAGAAGGTCTCATTGTCTGTATCCACCATGACTGATCGCTAGTGCTGCCTGGTAGAGAGTGACTTCTAGGCTGAGGGTGGGATCAATGGCGGGGTCCTGTGACCAACTGGAAGTACCCACCATGAAGCCGTGGCTAACGGCCCTGAAGGAGGTGGAGAAGGA